TGTAATGTAATATAAAGTTGTCCTTTAGGCCAAGAACACCAGCTTCAGCACACTTCACTATTTATGACCCTAGTTCTAAATCCTTCTTTTGAATCTTTTTTTGGCACTATCCCACCAGATCTTCCCTAGAAATTAGACAAAGACTAAAACTAATGTCACTTCAGATGCTTCCAACTGAATTGACCAGTTTTTTGTACCCCTTCACTAATTTAACACATGGTCTATAACTTCTATTTATTGCTATGATGATGACCTAGCAACTGGCTACTTTAGTTGGATTTTTACATTGAATATTTGTGAATGCTAAAGGAATAATGGGCAAAACGTGACAAACAATTTCTTATTACTATTTCTATTACTATTACTATTTCTTATTATTTATTACTATTAACAGACTACTCATTTACCTTGTAACTTAGTTATTATTGGTTATTTAGCATTTTGAGTTTCTTGTTGAATTCAATATACACTAAGGAAGTTTAATATGTCCTCAATATGTCACTCTATTAGCTGGAAGTAATATCATTCTCTTTTCAAGTATTTTAACAAATATAAAGTGGCCTAATTCATGAAGATGAAAATTTTAAAAACAAGAGTTTCTGGAAATTCCAACACAAACACCAAAAACCACATATGGGAGAAGGAATTTAGGCAAAGCAGAATTGCAAAATGTTGTGTTGAAAGTAAATAGATCTCCGTTTTAGGAGAGAAGCAGTGCACCCACAGGAGAAACTGGTCTGAACGAAGTTTCCTCAGTTCAGTTCAGGCTCTACAGGAAAATTGCCAGGGATGCGACAGAAAGCTAAGCTCCAGATTTCTTCTGCTTCCCTGACATTTTCAAGGGTCAACCAGAACAGTTGAATCTTTTGGTCTCACACCAATTCTGCTCCCATGCTCATTATAGAATGGAAATTGAAGACATTCTAATACAAGCTACATGGGGGCAGCAACTTTGTTTAACTTAAAATTGTATCTCCGGTACCTAGATCAGCACCTGGCCCATTGTAACTGGTTAAACATTTGTTAAACCAAATGAATGCATTTTGTTATCTATGCCCAACTCCACTGAACTGTCACAGACTTTAACTGTCACAAGAAGAAGTGCTTTCCTATATCTCCTTTGCAGACCCTCGCACGGGAATCCCAGGGTGATTGAAAGATCTTCTATCAGTGTAGCAATAGCTATTAGTTAGATGAGCAACTCTCCCTCTAGTCTGACCTATCAAGAGGCCACCGTGATGCCTTCATATTCTTTGGAATTTTAAGAAAAAAATGTAGATCTAACAGATGTGTGTATGTGTTGTAAATATCTTTGAAACACCAGTGATTTATGATAGTAACAGCAGCCATAACTTGCAAGTTCTGCTTCAATATACCGATTTATTTTAAGTAGCTAAAAAGCTCTAGGCCAAGGGAGAGGGCTGACTCAGTTTCTTTTGCCTCACACAACTTCAGTCAATTGTTGGCATCTTTATTCTATTTTTCTCTATAATCTGGGACAGAGGTTATGTTTATATTAACCTACCAATCTTCCCTCCTTACTTCCCTTCTTACTTTCTTCTTCATAGTACTTCCCTTATCATTTATTTATCACCTGCTACCTCTTAGGTGTTGGAAATACAAAGGTGAATAATATTTAGACTCCCCCCTCAAATAGTATATAAACCAATGGAGGAAATCAACAGCTCTAATCATTACAAAAAGTATTGTGGTTGCATATAGAAAAGGCAGGCAACACTGATGTCCCGAAAGAGGCACATGGATTGAGTCTTGAATGACAAGTAGAAGTGAACCAAGGAAGAAGCATGTGCAAAGTCATGGAATTAAGGGAAACCATAGCACATTCAGGAAGCTGTAAATAGTTCTTTAAAGATGGGCGTAGATATTGTGAGATGAGGTCAGCAGACTAGATAGAGATAGGCAGAACTAGATAAGTTCATTAAGCTTCTCCGCATCTTAAGGAGTTCTACTTTAACCTTGAACCCTCTCCACAGCCACTGAAACATTTTAGCTGAGAATAGCATTTCCATAACAGAAAACATTCTGTGATAATACAATTGAAAATATGCTGAAAGCAGAGCAAGAATGCAGGCAGAAAAACAGGTTCGGGGAAGCTGTTGTAGTAATTTAGAAAAGAAATGACGTCTGAACTATGGTTTTGACAGAAAGGAAGTTTAGTTCAAAGGACCCTAACCAGGTAGGAGGAGATTACTGCAATCCCTCAGGGAAGAAAACATGTTGTCCTGAACGAAGGCTGAGGCAGCAGAGATGGTGGTAAAAAAAGGCGATGGATTTAAAGATCTGATCTCTCTCAATTTCTAGACAACCTGCCTATTGTTCCGAATTTCTCCTTAGAATCTAAGTATGTGTGTGTGAGTAAAACCTGTCGGGCTTCTTGTTCCACGGACTAGATAAAAATTGTCTAATGCTATTTTCATTTGTGGTTTTTTGAGACTAAGATCTAAATCTATGTACATTTTTAAAACACCTCTTATCAACTCTTACCTGAAAGTACATACTATAAAAGAATTTAATAATCATTCAGAACCCTAGTGAGGGGGCTTCTTAAATGGATGAAAGCAGTTGGTAGAGGAAAGTGCTTGAAGAGCAATCCTGTTAAAATTAAGTTAAATCATCTCGCTCCCACTTAAAATCCTTCAGTGTCTTTCCATCGTGCTCGGAGTAAAAACCAGTCTTTAGAAAGATCCACATGGCTCTACAAGAGCAGGCTCCCGACTCTGACCTCAATTCTTCAAGTCCTACGACTCCTTCCCCTCAGTCACTTTGGGGCGGCCGTGCTGGTCTCCTTGCTGTTCCTCAAAGTCTCCAGGCACGCTTGGGTACTGAGCACTTGCTCGTCTGCTTCCCAGTTATCCTCCTGGCTTGCTCCCTCACCTCCTTCAGGTCTTTCCCTTACTTTATTTCTTTATTTAAAAATAAAATATCCCTCCCCTTCAGCACTCTCTGCCCAATTTATATTTTCCATAACACTCATCACAATCTAATAAACTTTTATTTATCTTGTTTAGTATCCATCTCCCACTCTCCCACAACTAGAAAGTAAGTTCTAAGAGGGCAGGAATTTTTAACGTTTTTCTGTATCTCTAGTGCCTAGAACAGTGCCAGGCACATGGTAGAAACCACATGAATAAACAGACATGACAGCATGACCGTCAGTCATGGTGTTCCAGAGACCTGACCGATTGACTGCGAAATCATTACCATGGAAAGAACCCTGCAGTTAGTTATTGTTTTTTCCATCAGGAAGCCGCTAGTAAAGTCAGATATAGTCTGAACTGTTTCCATCAACACAGCATTTTGTATAAGGCACTATAAATAGGCCTTAGTTCATAAGAATGATTAATTTATAACCGATCTTCACCTGACATTTAATGACTATAAAATTGTGTTAGATTCTTTACCATAACACAGAGTCTGTGCTTAGTCATAACTGCAACTTTCTCTTCTGTCTGGTAAGAAAATGCTCATTGTTCATTACTATGGAGAAAAGGTTTTGTTGAAAGTGATTCCATGGCCTTCAGCTTTGTAGTTAGACATCTTATGGTCTCCACTTGGAGGGAACATATCAGCTGAAGTAATCATCACAATTAACAAAAATAAATTATTGGGTCATGCATCCAAAGACTCTTTTTAATGGTCTTAATTTTTGAAAGAGTTTTATTGCTATTTGATTTTGTAATACATAAATGCTTGCTCATTGTAAAAAAAATCAATTAATACAGACATAGATAGAGTTTAAAACAACACATTTACCTTCGCCTTTCTCCCCAGTTTCAGGCTTCTCCCCAGAAGTAACAAATATTCGTAGTTTGGCATGTATTTTTCCATGCCTCTTTCTATGCACTTATACAAATATGCACACCCAGAGTTTTAGTTCTGGAAGATTTAAAAACGAATCTAGATAGATAGTTTTGTAAAGTGCTTTGTTTACCTAACAATGTTTTGGACATTTTTCCATGTCAGTGCATACTGAGTTCAGCAATCATACGTCCAGGTTTATCCTATTTTCTTGGATTAATTATTAATAGTGCCCTCTTTTATTATCAAAGTAGCCTAGTTTGGACAACAAATTATATGGTCTGTTAATATCAAGCTACCTGATTAATGAATTCATAGCAGTTTATAAAACCATAATTTTTGTCATCATTACCCTACAAATGAACATTGAGATATCACCCTTTTTTGGTATTATAAACAAGCCTGCAGTGAACATTTACATACATATATCTTTGCACATGTGTATGAATATTTCTATAGGATAAATTCTCTAAGTCCAGTTGTGAGGTTAGAGGATATATATATTTACCCTTTTTAAATAGTCAAATTGTTTTCTGAAAAGCTATACCATTTTATACTTCCATCAACAGCACTCATGTCCCCATACCCTCACCAACCACCAATGACTATTACACATTTTTTTGGCCAATTCCATGGGCAAAGTATCATATATCATTTTTGTTTGAATTTACATTTCACTGATAATGAGGTTGAATATTTTTTTCATATTACTTCATATCTTTTGTCCATTTTTCAATGGGATTGTTTTTTCTCTTAATAATTTGTAGGTACTCTTTTCTACTAAGTGTAATATATAACTTGTAAATATTTTCTCCCAATATTTCATTTATTTTCCCAATAGCATGGAAAACAAATGTGCCAGTTCCACAGCTACACCCACCAATATTTTGATTCTCCAAAAATAGCTAAAATACATATAACTCAAAGCATAGTATCAAATTTTCTTATCTTACAAAGCTAAAAAATATACATATATACCTCAGTCATATAAAGTATTATGAACTATGAACAGGTATGGTCTGCCACTGAATATGTTGTGAGTCATTTTACTTACATATATCATTTCTCCAAATTTTATATGAATTCCTTATGTTTTCAAAAATATTTCGCTTTTACAATTTTGAGTACAACAAATATGTATTGAATGTAAATCACTGTAGCTCTTACACATAAAATCTCACCTCTTTAGAGGAAGAAAACTTAATCAGGTTCTTTTGCATTTTTCATGCTTTGACTGCATCTCCCAATTTTATCTTCAACAAATTTCATCAGGGTTGAGTTAATTCACCTCAAGGTCACAATGGATTGCACTGTACATCATCCTAGCATGGAACTGACACCTGAAGTGTTACTTGGATCATTTTTTTCAATAATTCATGAAGAAATAGAGATAACAGGCTTCCTCATCTGGAGAAAATGTTTAATGATTTCCAGAGGAACAGAGAACAAGCAATAAATATATATATATAAACACTCTATTCAATATTCTGTAGGCAAAGATTTCCCCCCAAATACTTTCTCAAATGAATACATGCTGTTTGCCACAGTTGGTGTCAAATAATCTTCCTTTTTCGGTTGTATGAAACAGCTATTTAATGAAGTATTGTCTTTTCTCTGAATAAATACACTGTTCCTTAATTAACAAAAATTAAATATAAAAATAGAAATTAACAGCAGCTGGAATTCTGATTAATAACATGGTATTCATCCTTTAGATGTAATAGGCTTTGTGTTTTATCAAAATCTCATTGCAACTAACAACAGGCATTATACTGGGATTTCAGATTTTCATTATAATCTGATTTATGGCTAACAAGGCCTCATCATTTCCACACACCACCCGTTTTAACAGATGACACAAAGGCCAAATCCGGCTGTTCTAATGATACCATAGAACCGCAACTGGAAATAATCGATCTCCCCCTATTTAGGGTCAACTTAACAAGCTATGGTAAATTAGCTGAACTGGAACTTTCAAGCCTGTCCAATTTGTCTTTCTACGTGTACTGACATCTCAAACAAGACTTTCAAATTACTAGATAAATATTCTTTTTACAGCGATTCCACACCTCTGTCCACTTTGCATAAAGATCATCTGCACTAATTTATGACATTCTTCACAGTCTCTAGACTCTCCACAGGGGTTCACAAATGACAGTCGAGGTGTGAGGAATAAAACCTGGTTTTCCTGCCATTTGACTCTGTGCAATTGTTATAATTCTCTTGGCTCAGATTCACATTCTAATTGTTATACTAGAGGAGACTGGAAAGGCGATATCTTGCTGGCTCATTCCTCTGAGTTATCTCAAAGCATGGTCACCATGGCAGGAGCTTTAATGGTGATCAAGATCCATCTTTGAAGAACTTGAGTGAAAATTTTTAAAAAGCAAGGAGATCTTATTTTCTAATCCCTTAAAGTAATAAAGGATTAGTCACATCTAACCCTACCCAAACCCCAATTTGACATAACTCAGCTTGTTTTCTGCCAGATTGGATCATTATTTCCAGAATGCAGTTCTTACAAAAGAAATCATTCACATATTTTAAAACTAGATATTGATTTGAAGGCTTTTAATAGTCTGCAATTAAGGTGAAGATTTGGCATCCTTGATTGGTTTTCTCCATCACCATTTATTAATAGCTGTATATTGAAAATGGAACCAGTAGATTGAATGGTTTTTCCTATATGCCTTCTGCTGATACTGAACAAAGAAATGTTGTAATTTTGCCCATCGTTTCTGACAACAAATGAGCCTGTTAATCATTTAAGCAAATCAGCTCATTATTGCTGCCCACAGTGAATCCAGGCAAGGGATTTGGAGTGGGAGAAAACTGGATTAAATTTCAATCCCACCTCATTAATTATATGTCCTAGGCAAATTGCCTCCACTCTCCAAGTCTCATAAAAATAGGGATAATAATACTTACCTCATTATGATATGTTTATTCTCATGTTATGAAAATAAAATGTTAAATGTTCAGCAGAGTGCCTGGCACCTTTTAAGCATTCGAAAGTGATATTATTGTCATATCTTTTATTTGGTGAATTATCTTACAATAAATTATGGCAATTCTTCATATCTTTCAAAACCATGGTAGAAATTTTACTATCATATCAATTTGCCCCTATAAAATTAGGAAAAAATGTAAAGTCCAATTGACCAGGGTATCTTTTGAAATGAGTATTGTTACACGTTGCTGGTAAAAGTATATGTGGGTCATGTTCCTTCCGAAAAGCAATTGGCAAAATACATCAAAAAATCTTGAATATATTTATATACTTCAGGTCAGTATTTTCTGTCCTAATAATTTATCCTAAGGTTTTAGTCATAAAGATGTTCACTGAAAAATTACATATAATGCCAAAAGTCAGAATCGACTTATACATTCACTAGTTATGAATTATGGCTCAAGACAGGCACAAAAGTAGTACAACAAAAACTCTAGACTTTCTTTATAAGATAACATAAGAAGACTTTGAAATGGAGAGAGAAGGTAGACCAGTTCAGGACCTAAGGAACGACCCTGGGTTTTCTTTTTGCTGGAGAAGCAGTGACCTGTAGGTGCCAATAGGCACAGACAGAATAGAAAAAAAAGAAAGCCCCAAAAGAGCCAATTCTCTCTAACCAAAGGACTAAGAAAGGAATAGCCTAGCAAGAGAGAACACCTACAGAAAATAACTGCCCCTACCCCAACCAACCCGGCCCAAGAGAAAGGGGTACCTCATTACTGTTCCCCACTTGTCTTCACCAACATCATTGTGGGAGAGGGCTGCCTTGTTACCACTCAGTGAGTGTGGAAGTCCACATGGCCTCCGCTGACACCAGCCCAATGGTGATAGAAAAATGTGCAGCCCCACTAACAATGCTGTCAGCAAAAGCTAAGTAGGGATTATAGATCTTGCTGGGCTATAACAAGGCACACCTTCCCCCTTAATGGAGTCAGGACCTTCATCCTTGCCTGACAGTAACAATCCCTCTCCCTCACAATGTCAGCAGAGATCACTGGGGAAGCCTAGACTTCGATCCCCACCTGGTGGCAATGAAGCCCCCTTTCACCTCCCCATTGCGATGGTGTCAGTGGAAGCCATGTGGCGTGCCACCTCTTAAGTGGTGATAGTGATAAGGCACCCCTTCCCCACAGCAGTGTTGGTGGAGACCAAAGGGGGAGCAATAATGAGGCACTTCTCGACTTCAGACCACAGTGATGTCACTGGTGGCCTTGTGGGGATCCTGACTTCTATGCCCACCCATCAGTTATAGGACTAACCCCCAACCCCAGGTGTCAACAGGCAGAGTGGGAAATCTAGACTTCCACCATCACCTGGCAGTAAGGAGGTGGCTTCCCATCCACTTACCCTCTGGAAACATGTGATAAAAAGTCTCCTAAACTAGTGGATTTAAATAAGATCCAGAGTCTCATAGTGAAATACTCTAATGTCTAGCATACAATGGAAAGTCACTCATCATACCAAGAAGCAGGAAAATCTCAACTTCAGCAAGAAAAAATAATCAACGAATGCCAACACTGAAATAACACAGATGTTGGAATTATCTAACAATGATTTTTATAGCAGCCATCATAAAAATACCTCAACAATTACAGACACGCTTGAAACAAATGAAAACAAGAGAAAGTCTCAGCAAAGAAATTCATGACATAGATTAGAACCAGATGGAAATATTAGAACTGAAAAATACAATAAACAAAAAAAGAAAAGAAAAGCTCAGTGGATAAGCTCAACAGAAGAATGGAGAAGATATAGAAAATAATCAGCAAACTTGAAGATAGAACAATAGAAATAACCCAATCTGAACAACAGAGAGAAAATAAACTGGAGAAAACAAAGGAACAGATCCTCAAGGACCTGTGGGACTATAACAAAAGATCTAACATTTATGTCACTGGCGACCCAGAAGGAGAGGAGAAAGAGTCAGGGCTGAAAAAAGCATTTTGACGATGGCCGAAAAATTCATAAATTTGGCACAGTATATACCTATTCAAGAAACTGAGCAAACTTCAGCTAGAAAGTCAAAGAATTCCACAACAAGACACATCATAATCAAACTTCTGCAAACTAAAGGCAAAGAAAAAAACTCAAGAGCAGTGAGAGACAAATGACATCTTACCTTCAGGGGAAAATCAATTCAGATGACAGAGAATTTCTCATCAGAAACCACAAGAGCTTGTAGGAAGGGGCCAACATTTTTCAAGGGAGGAAAGTAAAGAAGAGTCAACCTAGAGTTCCATATCTAGCAAAAATCTCCTTCGGTAATGACAAGGAAATCAAGACATGATAAGAGGAAAGAAAAGAAAGAGAATTTCTTACCAATAGACTTACTCTAAAAGAATGACTCAAGGAAGTTCCTGAAACAGAAAGTAAATAATAAAAGAAAAAACCTTGGAATATCAGTGTGCACTTTTGTGTTCTGTCTAAATTTTCCATGAGTATGAATATTTTTTAAAAATAAAATTTTTTAAAGCAATAATAACTACAGCACTCACTTTCCTTTGACTAATTCAGTTACTAGCAAATTAATTTATCTATTAAGATATTAATTTATACATTTTCTTCTATTTTTCTGTGTATTTATCTTCTATCTCCCTAACTTGGCAATAGGAACCCCATGACAAATACACGATTTTTCAATTCTTCTTCATCTCTCACTAGCATCTGCTAAGGTCATTTGTACCTGGTGAATAATAAAAAATGTTGCTAAATTATTACACAGCTGACCTAGTATATTAAGATTTTAGAAATATGAATCAATACATGCATTTACAAATAGTATTTCCATCTCCATGCCATGGAGTCTGGGAATAGTCAGATCCAATAACAGGCCACTTAGAAATAATACTTTGTTCTACTGTATTGAATTTTGAGTGTTTTCATTTGTAAACTTTGCACCAAATGTTAGATTGGAAGAAAAAAAATATTTGGGAGTATAGGTGATCTTTCAAGCAACTTCCCTCTGTATTAAAGGTATAGTTGAGGGGCTGGCCTGGTGGCAGAGTGGTTAAGCTCATATGCTCTGCTTCAGCAGCCCAGGGTTTGCTGCTTCAGATCCTGGGTGCAGACCTAGCACCGCTCATCAACCATGCTGCAGTGGTGTCCCACATAGTAGAGCTAGAAGGACCTACAACTAGGATATACAACTATGTACTCGGGAGCTTTAGGGAGAGGAAAAAAAAAAAAAGAGGAAGATTGGCAACAGATGTTGGCTCAGGACCAATCTTCCTCATCAAAAAAAAAAAAAAATATATATATATATAGTTGAGTCAATTCAATATTAAAGTAATCTGGGAGAAGGAAAAATTAGATTGAAAATTATCATAATGGTAGCAATAGCTAACATTATTGAGCATTTACTCTATGTCAGGCATGGTTCCAACCACTTTTTACTCGTTGCTTCATTAAATTATCACCCAAATCCTAAGAGATAAGTCCTATTGTTATCCTCTTTTTATAGATAATGAAACAGAGGCTTACAGAGTTTAGGTAACTTGCCCAAGTTCACAAAGTTAATAAATATCAGACAATGATTCAAACCAAGGTTTGTTTGATTTCAGATACTGACCTTTAAACCATAAAACTATACATTTCCAATTTGCCAAGAACACATTGTCTCTAAAAAATCATACAGTTCAATCGATTCTCTTGTTCCTGGAATAAAGCTGATTAAACCTTTAGAGAAGTTGATGAGTTAGAAAGCAAGGAATATTGTCTCTCCCTTTTTTCAAATGAAAAATGGAGTATTTTGGAGAGATGTTTTTTCTAAGCTTCAGTACTTTGGTGATTTGGGAACAGGAAAGGTAATTCCAACCCATTTCAATCCCTTAAGTTAAACTTAGCCACCTCACGGAGTCACACTGGTGACTCCACTATCTGCATCACAGTTCCAGAACGTCTCAAGACCAGCATCCCCCATGCTTGGAGCTCTGCTCCTGATACCAGCTTGTCCCCTTTATTTTTTGGTTCTTATTAAATTCTTTCTCTTTATGGAGTCTTTTGCTTGGTGACTCAATTTAGACTTGAGCACACAACAGAATCTGTCCTCTGGCCCTATCTGCTAACACTTTTGATAAATGACACCTCACCATGGACTTTGCCTTAACCAACGCCCACCCCCACCCCCCACCCCACCAGAAGAACCTGAGACAATTTCCTGACCTCTAGAGAGAGAGTTCAGGGAAATCTTGGAAGAGAAAGGAGTCTTCAAAAGTCCAGAAAAATTCTGAATATTAATCTGACAAAAAAATCTCTAGGGAAGAAATTATTGAACTTCTCTGTGTCACTCATTTCAAGGTCTGATACTGTATTTTGCAGAAGGAATAGTCCAAAGGAAGGCAGTTTCAAATGAACAAAATCAAACTAAGATACCAGGGGAAAAAAGGTGAAGTGGATGAAACCAGAGGAAATAAAATGTAGGATTTTTTTTGGCAGTGTTTGTTGAAGAAGGAAGAGAATGAGGAGAGAGAAGGAAGGAAGGAAGGAAGGAAGGAGGGAAGAAAGGAAGAAAAGGAAGGAGGGAGGGAAAAGAAAAAGGGAGGGAAAGGAGGGAGGGAGACAGGGAGGGAAGGAAGGAAAGAACTATTTAGCCTGGTGAGGAAAACATGAATTCCTTGTCAAAAATATTTCAGTAGCTGAAATTCCATTAATGTTCCTAGAAACTAGAATATTCTCCCTTTCTCTTTCTGCTCAATTATTTTCTTCACATTCTGTGAATCTCCCCTTTCCTTCGGACTCCACTGAGTAGTGCTTTCCTTCACTGATATTTGTAGTCTGTATTTACGGCCTTTGAGTGTCCTTTTCTAAATTTCAGCAGTTGCGTACTGCCTGGTCCATCCCCCAACCCTCACTACCCACTGTCTACCTCCCAAGGGCTTGCTGCCCCTTTGGGCTTCCTATAGCACAGCTCCTGTCACACCACTCACCCTGCTCACAAAAACTCATGAAGTACAAATCTGCCTGGCAGGTAAGGCCTTCCACAATTTGGCTTCAACCCATGCTTCTAAACAACCATATTTTTCAGTTCTTCACTGTTTACTAATAAACCTTAAAGTTTGGATGGCAAACAAGCAGTAAATGCCCAGAGTCCCAGTCACAAACACGTCTTGCTGTTAGGAGAGTTGTAAAGGAAACAGCAGAGGCAGCCCCTACCCAGAGAAACTCACACCCTAATGAAGGTGAAATTAACTTCAGCCATGAACTTAGAGTCATACCAAAGATGCCCTTGCACTTACTCAGACGGTCTCTACAGAGGCTCTGAAGAAGGCAGGAGCTGTAACTCATAAAGCATTTATGGGTAACATTAGAAGCATATAAATGTGAGGGCTGAGTATAGGTAACACTATTCATTAAGCTTTGTACCAAAATTGACAATGGAATTAGGATCTTCCAAATACATGTTATACAGTTACAATCTTCTTTTATTCTGATCCACACAGGGCTCGACAAATTTACCCTCTTCTTTAAGGAGCATATTTCACAGACAAGAAACAAGAGATTCTAGGGGCCGGCCCAGTGGCGCAGCAGTTAAGTGCGCATGATCCACTTTGGCGGCCCCCGGGGTTTGCTGGTTTGGATCCCGGGTGCGGACACGGCACCGCTTGGCACGCCTTGCTGTGGTAGGCGTCCCACATATAAAGTGGAGGAAGATGGGCACTGATGTTAGCTCAGGGCCAGTCTTCCTCAGCAAAAAGAGGAGGATTGGTAACAGTTAGCTCAGGGCTAATCTTCCAAAAAAAAAAGAAAGAAAGAAAGAAGAGATTCTGATCATGCTGAACCAGGTTATTTGTGTTAGGGAGGTAGCCTACAATTACCAAATAGGCTTTCAAAATAATGGAGGAGGTGAGTGGCCCATCAAACCCACATTTGCTTGAGCCTTGAGAGCACTCACTCATCAAAGGCCCTGTCAGATAGGTGATCCAACTAGTTAGTCAAGAAAATTTACTTTGATGAATACAAATAGGCATTTTTCACAATAACTGCTATTTACAGCTCAAACCCTGTGCGAAATATAGTACCCAGACTCAGCTGTGATTTAACACTACTGTTTCCATAATGAGTGTTCAAAAGGATGAATCAATAGACCCTCAATAGAATATGTAATAGCTTTTAATAATCTCAGTGTTGCTTTAATTGAGTCAAAATCAAAATTGAGAAGTAAAAATTATAGCTTCTTTCTCTATAGGGTTAACAGTAAACCACTAAATAATGTCACAATAAACAAATTTTCACTGGTTTGTATAAACAAGACATTATATCTGATCCAAAAATTAATAACTCAAGAAAGAGAATATATGGACTTGTTTCACACCCAAATTTAGATATATGCTCGTGACATTAAGAAATTGACTACAGGTTTGGCTTGTTTTGCACTGGTAATGAAGTAAGAAGCTCCTTTGCCAGTATAACTTACTCTATCCCATAAATATTAGATTCTTCCATTTTGGAAGCTAAAGCAAGCAAGCAAGAATCTTTGCTTTTTATTTTTTTGCTTTTTACATAACTCTAACCTAGTTCAAAAGATTTTTTTATTTTAAAAATATTTTTAAAGATTAAATTACTTGTTGTCATGTAGATTAAAAAATAGTTGTTTGAGGGGCCGGCCTGGTGGCATACTGGTTCAGTTTGCCCACACCGCTTCAGCAGACTGGATTTCGCCGGTTCGAATCCCAGTTGCGAACCT